GAGAAGCCCGGAGGTTAAAGTGTTCAACTTTTTGCATCTTTTTGGTGTCCTAGATGTCACTAGTTCACAGATGTCCACTGTCTAGATTAGCCAACAAAGATTTGTTTTCAGTTACACGACGACATGACATGGTTCGTCTTCACTAAGAACACCAACATGTAGTACCAGAACTGAAGGGAGACTCAATGTCTGTTAACTAACTTAAAATGAATAGACACAAAAGGAAAAAAGGTACAGTTAAACCTGTGTAAATCGATACGCATATCTTATAAATTTTTACTTTACTTTTGTTCCTCATAGTAGATTTATTATAACTTATATCTGTATTTTTCTTCTTCTTTTTAGCCTTCTGTCGTCCATCTTTAAACATTGGCCTCTCCCAACTCCTTCCATCGGTCTCTATCCTAAGCAACATATTTCCAATTTGTTCCGGCTACTCTTTTAATGTCATCAACCCATCTCATCTGTGGTCTTCCTCTTGGTCGTTTACTTTCGTAAGGTCTCCAATGTTGTATTGTAGTATTCCAACGTTGGTCTTTCTGTCTAGCAGTGTGGTTATGTCCTCGACTCTTGTTTTGGATCTTACCCAGTCGTTTCTCTTTTTATCTGACAGTCGTATACCTAACATTGCTCTTTCGATTGTTCTTTCTGTTGTGGCTAGTTTATTCATATTTGCCTTGGTTAGGGTCCAGGTTTGATATTCATATGTCATGATAGGAAAGATGCATTGGTTGAACACTTTGCTCCTCAAGTATTGGGGTATTTTGCAGTTCTTAAGTATCCAACTAAGTTTTCCAAATCCTGCCCATGCTAGTGTTGCTCTTCTAGTAATTTCCGCACTTTGGTTCTCTTTCTCAAATCTCAGGATTTGGCCAGGTAGATATATTCCTGGATTTGTTCTATCTCACTGCCATTTATAGTTATATATCTGGGGTCTTCTGTGTTTGTCATTATTTCTGTTTTTTTCATATTCATTTTTAGGCCGACGTATTGGGAGCTGGCTGCTAGTTCCCCCAACCTAATTTGCAGTTCCTCAAATGTGCTCGCTATAATCACTATGTCGTCAGCGAATCTGAGGTGGTTTAACTTGTTGCCATTAACGTTAATGCCATAGTTGACCAATTTGTAGTTTTAATTCTGTATTTTTAAACAATAAAAAATAATTAATTTTTTCCCGATTTCTAACTGTTTTTAAATGATGTTTCTAGTAAAAGTGTTCAGAAAAAAACAGGACGTATGGTACGTACTAAACCGTAATAAATCCGAACGTATGTCATATCTTTTATTGTTGAGTGTATCGTGGATATTTAAATTGATATTAGGCTTTTACATGAATTTAATATAAAAATTTATGCTTGAAGTATATAATGAATAATGCAACAATGTATTTAATAGGCTATAACTTTTCAATACTATTACAAATTGTGTAACTCTTGACGAGAATAACGGGAATAGTTACAGTATCAACTTTTGTAATAAAAATCGAATAACTTGAACTATTATATTTTAAATCTAATATATTTAATAATGTTATTTTATTTTTATATTTATTGTTTTTATATTGGAGCCATATTGGACCTCTTTTAAATTCCATGGTTATTTCGCTTCAAATCAGGGATAAACGCAATTTGGTACAGCACCTATCTAAGAAATTTTTTGATTTTTTACTGTTAATAAGTTTCTTCAGTATTAAGGTGTTTTATTAGTATATAAGTTCGTTATTAACTAAAAGCTCATTAGCTTTTCATTAGTCCAAGACAGTGAAAAGCTGTGAGGAGCTCAGATAGTAGAAAGAAGTCGTAGATAAAAGCAAATCTTTAGCATATTCACAACATTGTTGCCAAATCTTGTCCAACAATTTATTATAACTATTTACATAGACGCCCAATAAATGCACATATTTCATGGAAATTTGTTGCCGGACAATCATTTTCTAGTTTATACGATTTCCGCGTAACCGCAAGTTGTTTATTTGTATGTTGTTCGATATTTTCTAGACTATCTAGTACTATCAGAAAAACAAGTTTTCAGAACAGTACAACACTATGATGCTACTGCTTTTACACCTGGAAGTTGAATAACAGTATTTCGTCTTTTTATTTTTGATACAAGTTTTGTCATTTTATGTTTTAAACAAACTGTTCCGTTTTTGCCAATAAATTGAGGAAAGTTTGAGGCACTGTAGTTATTGGTATAGGTTCGTCAATTGCGTCACATAATTCAAAATTCTCATCGTTTTATGACTGCTCTGTGTCCGTCTCATGAATGCTATGTGCAGCAGAAGCGTAATTTTCTGAGTCTTGGTTCTGCTTCTACTTCTTCGTACCACTTTAATAGTTGATTCCTGGTTTAAATGTCGAAAATATCCATTCTGGAAACAAAGAAATTTATTTAAATTATAAGCATAGATTATATTTAAAACGAATAACATATCCATAAAACAACAAATAAATAAATAAAAAGTAGGTATATTAAATGTAATAATAATTGTTAATATTAGGTATTCTTAAAAATGTTACTTTAAATCTTACCTATTTTTCTTTTCAATCAAGTTTTTGTGACAAACCGTTAACTTAACAAATTTACGTACGCAAAGAGCCCCGTGTAAAGATTTTTTCTCACCGTCCGTCACCCACTAGATATCGATTGTCACTAAACAATAAAGGTCATCGTCCCACCACTCAAAGGCTCTGAGGCTTTGCTGAAAGTCCAAGACGTTAAAAAAATTATTATCAAAAATAATAGGAAATAGTAAAAAGTGAGATTTTTTCTCACCACGGTACCGATCCCGGCTTAAGCTTATTTCAAATGCCTCATATTTATTGCCAAAATTCAAAACTAAAATTTCATGCTATAACTTGTAAAAACTAGGAACTAGATATGAAAACTCCATAGTGGCCGGCCATTTTATTGAGCATTGATTTCGCGTGCTTAACTGACATTTAAAATCGCCGATCGTTTCAATCGTTGTTTCTGAGTGAACAGTTCATTCTACACGAAACATGCTAATAAAACTTTTTTACCTACACTATTATTTTAGTGTCCCACAATTGTTTTTCGCGTAGCTTTTATCGTGTACACTGGTTATTAAAATGTTCTTGTCATCTTAAGAACAAACATTGTAATTACTCTCTAGCATTTCTTTTATATGTTAGAAAATCATAGAATGTTATGAGAAAAATCCGTGTTTAAAACTTACGCGGGTACTTTTTAGTAGCATATTATAAATTGTGCCACATATCTAATTTTGTTGATTGCTATAAGGTTCCAAATATCGAATTATCTCATTCTAATTTCTAAACCTTCCAATATTAACTAGCATGATACGCTAAAACGTACATTCCCCATTACGAGTAGCTGATATTATACTAATAGCTCTATATATTATATTTGAATATAAACGCCATAAAAATTATCTAAATGGTAGTAAAACAAGAAGATTACAAATTTCGAAAAATGGTTTTAATTTTCATTCATCTAAATTAGTAACAAATGTATAAATTAGCACCAGTTCTAATTGGATTCATTAAAATCCTTCTAGTTTAATCTGACATCAATATAATGTGAGAAGTGTGGTTAAAAACTGTTTTGATATTCAATCTAGTGTAAATCAACACCGACGACTAAATAATAGACCAGGGAATTTGTTAATAGAAAGAAATTTGTTACGTGACTACTTATATTTTTAATTCTATTTAATATCAAATATTTGTAAAGTAAAGAAAAGAAAAAAGTTACCTGAAATATATGTCAACCAAAACTCAAGCGGCATACCATAATTACAAGACAGTTAGAAATGAAATACATGCAGTTGTAAGAAAAATCAAAAAAGATCACTGGGAATGTTTTTCTAAAAAAATGGAACATCCTTTTTACAGTCTGCAAAAGAAAATATGGCGCTTTATAAGAGGTCAAAGAACGAAGGTAAAGGAACTAATAGAACCAAAACACATAGAAAACGATACGTGAAGGTCCTTCAGAAATGTTGTTGGTGCTTCGTTCATATAAGTAAAGTGGACAGTCTGTAAGTATGTGTTGGACTGTTTTTTGGCATTTACAGTATGAGCATTCTGGTGGTAGCTGCTTCGTTAATAAGTGTTGATGGATTAATGTTGTATGACCAATTCTTAGGCGATTTATAACAACCTGTTCTCTTCTTTTTTCTGGAAGTTGGAGCCGGACACCGATAGAGGGTTTAATTACTTTAAAATTTGAGTTATTTGAATCCCAGCATCGATGCCAAACTTCTGTACAGTATTGTTTAATGTTAAGGTAGATATCTGTGACTGGAATTTGTTTAATTATATCGATGCTTTCATTTGAGGTTGCTTTAACCGCTAAGGCGTCAACCTTTTCATTACCAGAAATACCTATATGTGATGGTATCCAGAGGAAGTGAATATTTACATTTTTGTTTTGTTAGTAATGAAGCATAGATTTTATGTTTTGGATGATTTTATGTGTTGGATAGATTTGTTTGATGCTTTGGAGTACTGATAATGAATCTGAGGTAAACAGAAGGTTATTATCTGTATATTTTTGACAAAATTTAAGTGCTTTTAAAATTGCAATAGCTTCACCAGTAAATACGCTGCAAAAGAAGGTGTTCGTATAGCATATTCGATAGTGGAATAGCGTTTGTTTCTTTTTCTTGTTTATTTGTGTATTACCTTTCTGTGAGTGATTTAATGTTGAACAATTATTTAAATATATTAAAAAACCAATAATGATATCCATTTTTATATTACCGAAAGGTAAATTTTACTAAATTTAATTGCTTCTACATGATAATTGTATAGCAATTATTTCTGTTACTGGTATTTATTCACTGGTCTATTAGTTATAATATATTAGAACACAGAGGGTTCTATTTATTAGTTTCACATAATGATATGATATCAATGTAATTTTCAAGCACGTCCAAGTAACTGACATGTGTTTCTGTTTATTTCAGGATATTAAAACAACCAGGAAAGGCTATTTTCTATTTGTTTACTATAATGGTAAGTACATATTTTCAAATATACTATTAAATATTAAAACGATAATCCTAAGTTAAAATCTGTTATATCTATTGACCAGTGGTGTCAGTTTATAGCACCAGTTTTTATATGCTCATTCACACAGTTTTTCTTAGTTGGGTAACTAAATAGCTTACGTAAAAGAAATCAATAAAAGATAAAAAATAGACAATTTCAAAATTCGGAAAGGCATGAAGATATTTAGAAAGAATGTGAACCATGTAAAAATGTTAAACAAGAAACTGGAAATTTGATACTGGGTATTGAGAGAATACAAAGAATAGTATGATAAAAAATGTCGCAAAATAACAAATAAAATTGGCGAGTGTAACAATGAAACAGAACAAGACAAATAAAAGAAGAATAGAAGAGACTGAAAACAGAAGAGAAGAAAATACACCTAGAAAAAAAAAGAGAAAAACATAAAAGCAACTTCGTGAACTCTTATAAAAAATTAAAAAAAAGTAAAAAGGGTTTCATACCAAGGACAGGTATGTGAAGAGATAAAAAGAGAAGCATGTTTAAAGAACAGAGGTAAATGTTATCGTTTCTTTACTTACTTGGTAAGCAAGGCGAATCGCGTGCGTCGTTCGTTCAGGAGGCAGCGACAGTGACGGTATTCTTGAGCCAAGAGTACAGGGTGACGTTTCGTTGTATTATATCGAGGAATATAAAAATAAAAAAAAATCCGTAAAATAGTTTCGAAACACAATTCAGATTTCTGCTCATAATTTGAGCCTTCTAAAAATTGCAAGGCAAACAGACGTTGATAAAGGATTTTAAAAGGGACATGGGGAATCTAAAATTTGCATTCCACGACATGTCTTTACAACTAAGCAGAAATCCATAGCGAATTGTGTTTCTCATACTCACACAGAGTATATCCGAATAAAATGAAATATTGATTTTTCACGTTGAGAACACCTATGAATAACTGTTCTGATGAGACCTATTAGGTCGAAATACGTATCAACAGATACATAGGCGCTGTTTGCGTGAAATCAAATATTTGCTGTCTTTTTCATTTCATAAAAATAAAACTATATAAAACAATTATATTTGTAAAGCAAGAATGATGATGATAAAAAAAAAATAAAAATAAAAGTGAAGATCTAGATCAACAAATAACACTTCACAAAAAGGACCATAACTGAAGCAGCAAAGAAATCTATCGGAAGAAATAAGTAAACACAAAAAAAATTCAAAAAAGAACTCCAAAATTTCCATGAAACAAACAAAAGGATACTGCATTCTATGCCGAACCAATCAGATAAAAAGCGTACACAATCTAACAGAGAAAAAGGGAGAGATAGAGAGAGAGAAAAGGAGCCGCAGGTGGAAACATTAAGGCAAAAAAGAGACAATATCTATACTAAACAGGTGAATATACACACAATCAAAGTGAAACATTCCACAAATAAGTAAGACTATATAAGGGAGGCTCTAATATAAGTACACCGAATTTCGTAAGAGATAAAAATGGAGAAATGCTGACCGCCAAAACTAAAAGAACAGAAAGATGTGCTGTATATTTTGAAGACCTCCTGAATGTTAATAACTGAACTGATCAAAACAATAAAATGATAAAAAAACAGAAAATATGAGAATCAAACGAGTCCAGATGGAATGAGATCTGTAATACGACCTAGAAAATATGGAGTCATATATGATCTGGAGAAAATGAGAGTGTGGCAATGGGAAATAGAGGCACAAAACAAACAAATATGGAAGACAATAGTTAACGCGGCAAAGTCTCACGAAGAGTTGTATCGCCTTTGATGATGGCTGAAAATTGTTCAGTGTTAGTCGAAATTTTTGTATGGATTATGATAGACGTTTTTTTTATAGCCCTTTTTCTATCCGAATTGTCGAATAAAGGCCTCTCCCATTTCTCGCGATTCATCCCTGTTGTGTGCTAGGCGTTTCCACATTGATCCTGCGACTCTTTTGATATCGTCGCTCCAGCGCATTTGAGGTCTTCCTCTTGGTCTCTTCGCATCGTACGGTCGCCAGTTTCCGACTTCTTTGTTCCATCTACCGTATTCGAGACGTTCGTTGTGTCTAGCCCATTTCCATTTTAATTTAGCTGCTTGTTTCGCGGCGTCCTTTATTTTTGTTTTGTTCCGGATTGCTTCGTTCGTTTGCCGATCTATTAGTGAGATACCAAGCATCTATCGTTCCATGGCTCGCTGAGTTTTTCGAATCTTGTCCATATTCTTTTTTGTGAATGTCCAGGTTTAAGCTCCGTAGGTGAGAACGGGAAGGATACAAGAACCGAACACTTTGGTACGAAGGTTTTGGGGTATCTTTTTGTCTTTCAGTATGTATGAGAGTTTTCCAAATGTGACCTATCCCATTCTTAGTCGTCTGCTTATTTCGGTAGTTTGGTTTTCTTTGTTTACCTTGATATTCTGACCCAGATATATGTATTCTTCTAAATGTTCCACTTTTGTTCCTTGGATGGTTATCGTCGGTTGATCATCTTTATTCGATATTAGCTTAGTTTTACTCATATTCATTTTCAGTCCTTTTTTTATGGATTCCGTATGAAGTTCATCGATGACCGTCTTCAGTTCTTTCCAGCTGTCGGATATTAGTACTACGTCATCTGCATATCATAGATGGTTTAAATACTGTCCGTTTATCGATAGTCCCTTCGTTTCCCAATTTAATAATTTAAAGAGGTCTTCAAGTGCGGCAGTAAATAGTTTTGTAGATATGGTGTCTCCCTGTCTTACTCCTCGGTTGATTTTTATTGGCCTCGTTTTCATTCCGTTATCCATCGTGATTACCATTTCAGCGTGTTAATATATATTATGTATTAATATCCTATATCTAGAATCTATTCTGCTGTTGACCAGTCCTTCCTCAATAGCCCATAATTCTATGCTGTCAAAAGCTTTCTCGTAGTCTATAAATGCTAAACAGATTGGTAAATTGTATTCGTTAACTTTTTCTATTAGGACCTTTATTGTGTGAAGATGGTCACATGTACTAAACCCTTTTCTAAATCCGGCTTGCTCTACTGGTTGATATACATCGAACTTTGTTGTCAATCTATTTGTAATTATTTTTGTGAATGTTTTATAAAGTTGTGATAGTAGTTATATTGGACGATAATTTTTCAGATCTGTGTTGTCCCCTTTTTTGTGTATTAATATTGTGTTAGCAGTATTTCATTTCTTTGGTATGTTTCCTTCAAATAGGCATTTATTAAAAAGTATTTTTAGGTACCTGATGACTTCTTCTCCGCCTTCTTTCAACATTTCTGCCAGAATTCCATCATTATCCGGTGCTTTATTCCTTTCCATTTCTTTAACTGCATTTTGTATTTCTACTTCGCTTATTTCGGGCATTACTTCAGAATTTACGTTTGTTATTTGTCTTTTCAGATTTTGCTTTGAAGAGTCGGGGGGATCGTTTCTTGAGCGGTATAACTCAGTATAGAAGTTTTTAACTATGTTTGATATGTGAGCTTTGCTTGTTTCTAGTTGGCCTTGTTAATTTTTTATAGTATTTTATATTATATATTTTTCTTTCCTAATTTCGGTTTGGTATATTTCAGACTTCGATTTTTCTCTATCACTCTTTCTATATGTTCTTGTTTATGTTTTTTAATATCGTGTTTTATCTGTTTTCGTATGGCTCGATTAAGTTCTTTGTATACTGTGGTATTTCTTTTGTTTAGTGACAGCAGCTCTTTTCATTGTTTCAGCATATTCTTCGATTCTGCACTTATTTTGGTGTTTTTGTTGTTATGGCGGGTTGCTACTTCTGAGCTAGCATTTAATAGTTCTTTTGTTATAACTGAGTTAATTTTATTAACGCTGAGTTGTTCTAGATTCAGTGCTTGGGCGGTTTTTAATTTGCTAGCATATTTTTCTTTATCGACTTTTAGCTTTTCTGTGTCTATTTGTATCGTATTATTATTTGTATCGAAGTTAATTCTACGTTTGCTATACTTAATCCTTAGTTCAGCTCTAACCATTCTGTGAACTACCCAGAGAGACATTATTTATTACTGTTACATCTTCTACGATACCTTTCTTGTTACACATGATGTAATCTATTTCGTGCCTTGTTTTTCCGTCTGGTGATAACCAAGTCCACTTTCTTTGCGGTTTTTTTTTATAAAATGTGATAGACGTTTAGTGTCAAGAAATAGATTTGAGTTTATTTCTTAATTGATTCATCCAAACATTTTTATTCTTAGACAATTTCTGGATATATGTATTTTTTTAATTTATTACCACAACTTATTTGTAAACTGTTGGACAATAGGTTAAAGCTATTCAAGTTTCGCTCCTATCAGAGATTGTAAATCAGTCTGGCAATTGTAATTTTGTTAGTTACACGCCTGAATAGTTCAATTGAACCGCATCCAAACCATTCACGGAGATTGCATAGCCACGATTGTAAATTCCACGAGGATTTTTTATTACTGATGTCCTTCTAGTGTATTTTTAATGTGGCCAAACAATGTTTTTAAAAACTTGGAATGATTTAATTCCGAACAGATCTTCTTTAAATAAAGTTTTAAGCTTTTAATAAGCATTTTTTATACTTTGATACACACGAACACCACATGCTTTGTTTTCATTATGCTGTTTCAATTATTGCTGCTTTTATATTTTCCCATTTCTGATCAATGCTATAGCTTCTTTTATTCAGTTAAAGCTCCACCCATCGGTAATAGCAACAAATTAAATTTATGTGTTGGTTGCTAAATGATATACCATATTGAATAACAATAATAAAAAATTGCTGCTTAAACAGACATAAGAGATATTAACATATTCTCTTAATCCACTTCCGTATTGTTATAAACTTTCTTATCGTAGACTGATGGCGCCATTCTTGACGCAGCCTTCCCACCAAACGCACATATCTCTCACCTTTCATGGTTTCCCCCAAAGAGTGCAACACCCAATTAACCATCCATTTCACCTGTGAGCCGTGGCACGGTACATTCTCCGCTTTTGCCATTCGCGGCATCAACCATCGTAATTATAATTGTTTTACTTATAAGGCCACTTGTCGGTTATTCAGCTAACATGGCGCCCAATAAACAAAAGATATAATCGCCGATCTCGTTACAACTTACAGCGACCTGCTTTTACTGATTTGTAACTTTTGTGCAACTTTTTAATTGACGCTGCACTTTCGGTTACACAAAAGGAATTGATATTACGTCTGTCGTTGCTAAAAATAAATCGATAAGTCAGTTGGTGGCTCTTTCCACTCCAATTGCAACAATTTGCGTGGTCCAATTAAATCTGATTTTAACCTAACTTTCAAGTATAACAGATTAAAAGTATTATATATCGGATAATGACTAAAGCTTCTACAGGTTTTTAAGTATTTTCTAGTTCTTTGTTGCTTGAGGTACAATTTGTTTGTTAGTTAAAGAGCTGTTTATACGAGTACCTATTTTACATCATTTTTCCTTTTATTTTGCTACCTATTTTTAAAAGCAAAACGTGTTAAAATAACTATTGTTGCTTCTCTTCAAGCTTTTTTATTTTTAGTTTATCAAATGTATATGTATATAGAAAGCAAGTAAATTATTATGTGAGAAGCTCTAGGTTTGAAATAAGCACTAAGGGCCCTAATCTTTACTCTAAAAATAAGTTTATCTGTTTAGCTTTTTAAACTTAGTTTTTGGAGTTTTGTATTTTTCGTATTAATTCTGATGCATACTAAAACCTTCTTCTTGTTCTTCTTCTTCTTCGTGCGACTAGGATTACTCCTGTTTGTCTGCCTCTTATTCTGTTTCAGTTGTTGTTGACTGTACATTATCTTTCCACCTATTTGGCGGCCTTCCAACTGGTCTTCTGCTATACGGCTTGTTGTTTTTACAGATGTTCGCTAATATATCTGGTCCCAATCGGTTTACATTTTCGTTACAGGCTTTTTTTTTTGTTGTTTTTATTCTTCTGTTAATATTTTGAACTTTGCACTCTTCGCGTATACTTTTGTTGGTTTGTCTGTCTATTAATGATATGCCCGCTATTGCTCTTAATACTCTCATTTCGATATCATTGATTTGTTGTTTCGTCTTTCTGGTATCGGTCCTTATCTCCGCTACATTATGTTAGGATTGGTCTTACTGCTGTCTTGTATACTTTCATTTTTCGTGGTCAGATATTTGTTTCTCCATATGGTTTCTCTGAGGCAATCACTTACTCTTGCCGCTTTTGATGCTTGCCTTGTAGTCTCTGTTCTTATATCCCTGTCATTAGTGATCTCTACTTCTAGGTAAATGAATTTCATTACTTGTTCTACAATTTTGCCGTCTATTTCTAGTTTGTATCTAAGCGGCTCTTTACTGATCTATACATTTAGTTTTTTCTACTGATATTCTCGTATTAAGTTTGTTTGCTGTGATATTGAAGGAGTGGAGCTGCCTTTGTAGGTCATCTTCGTTATTAGCAATTATTACTGCATCATGGGCATAGCATAGTATCGTGATTTTGTGCGCTCCCATGTGGTATCCGTGTCGTTTTCTTACTTGGTAAATTATTTGAGTCATCACCATATTGAATAACAATGGGGTGAGCGAGTCTCTTTGGCAGATTCTTCCTTTTAGTTCTATGCGTTTTGTTTTTTCTATTGACAATATACTCTGGTCTTGTTGTTCTTGTTAATTTCATTAATTGTCTTTATTATAAATATATATTATACATACATATTATATATATATATATGTCTTTATTATAAGTTTCTCTGCGCGTACATCGCAAAATGTTTACTTGGCGCAAATAAGATTTTTTTCATCAACCATGTTACAATTGTTGAGATGTAATCAGTAGATATAAACCGATGAATATTTTTTCTTATTGTTATAGATTTTGATCGTCAAAGAATCCCATGAGCATGGTCGTTGCAATCATAACTGTTTCGGACCAGTAACAAAACTCAAAATATACAATGAACTATCACATGGGTATCTTCACGTCAATGGTTCCAACGTAGTAACAACAGATGAATCAGATGGTAAGTAGTTATAAAAAAAGATCGTATAATGTAACTAAGGACTGAACAATCTTAATTGACAGTGTGACACTATTTTTTTTTATTTAAACAAATATACCCGCATTAGCAGGGGGACATACACAAACAGTAAGATACATATTGTTACATAAAAAAAAATATTTTTCACAATCTCGTATATAGTTTAGTCATTTTAAGAAAACCTAATAAAGCGTGTAAATTTGACGTTAGTACACTTTTTAAATTGTCACTAAGGGCACACGCGATTCTTTCGTCCTAGTACACTCAACAATTATATGTTTCACTGACAACTGAGTGTTGCACTTGGTACACATCGGAGCAGCCTCCTGGTTGAAGATATGCTTGTGGGTAAGGAAAGTATGTCCTATTCGGAGTCGGTTGATAATGACTTGGTCTTTTCTATTATTTGGTAAGATGAGTTTGGTTCCTACTTGACTTAGACATTCTTTAAGTTTGTTGGCAGTATGATCCCAAGTAGTTTGCCACGCTCTGTACATGTTGGCTTTGATATTAACTTTGTGATCAGTCCAAGGCATTTGATTTATGATAGGAATACTTTGGTCGATGGTTGCATTGCTAGCCAGGAAGTCCACTTCCTCATTACAACTTATTCCCATATGGGAAGGTACCCAGATGAAGGAAATATCTTTTTGTTGACTCTGTAGGTAAGATAACTCTTCTTTGATCTTGAGTAGTATGGCGTGAGTTGTATATAGCTGTTTTATTCCAAGTAATGCGCTCATTGAATCGGTGATGATAACAAATTTGCTTTCATTGATAGAACCACATTTTTTCATAGCCTGGTGAATTGCCGTAAGTTCTCCGGTATATATACAACAACTTGTTGGGATTCGTATGGTAGACTTGACGTTTTCGTAGATGTAGGCTGCAGCATGTCCTTCATCACATTTGGAAGCATCAGTGAATATTTGATGGGTTGTTGGGTATTTGGATATTATATTTTTATAAGCTTGCTGTATAAGGACAGGATGTGTGGAATGTTTCGGGAGTTCTTTTAGAGACGTGTCGATTTTTGGAGATTTGATCATCCAAAACTGAACTGTTCTAAATTAAGACCAATATGTTTTATTCGTTCAGGAAATGGTAGTTTTTTTTATTGCAATGTTTCTATAAAGATCGGACGATATATTTGTTCTGCAAAGTATTGTTGAGGTTACGTTGCTGTTGTTTGCTGAAATTCTGGCAACGTAATTTTGTGATAGGAGTTTTCTTCGTTGGCTTAAGGGCAGTTCATTAGCCAGAGCTTGTAAGCTACTTACTGGACTAGTTCTTGTTGCACCTAAAACTGACACTATCTGTTTATAAAAAGGTATTAACATCCACATCCACATATCAAACAGCAAGGCTTAGAATATGTAAAAAATGTACGCCTACTCAATTTTTGGTTCACAAATTGCATATCGTTCTCACGTCTAAGGTTTAAAATTGATAAATTATTTGTGGTGATTACGAAAATAATTATTTTAAAAGAAAACATTCTTTAAACACACTATAATTGACAAGACTAAATTAAAAACTGACTTAATATAAATATAAATAGAAATAAAAAAAAAATGTTTTATTGTCACTGAAAATTGTACAATTTTATGGACAGAGCTTACGAATAGTTAGAAAAATGCCAACATAAATTTAAAATTTAATAGACTAGTACCGTCCTATATCACTCAATAATGTAGCATGCAAAGTTCTAGAAAAAATTATAGACAAAAGATTGTTGTGGTACTTAGAACAAGAAAAACTTTTAATTCCTCAGCAAAGCGGCTTCCTACAAAATAGATCATGCGTAGACAACTTAGTAGATTTAGAGTCAGAGATACACGAAGGTTTTGCAAATAATCAAGAGACCATCGCAGTATTCTTCGATATCACCAAGGCATACGACACGGTTTGGAGATTTAATATTATATCAAAATTACACAAATGGGGAATCAGGGGTAATATGCTATTCATAGAAAACTTTCTTCAGTCAAGAGCTTTCTCTGTTCGCGCCGATAATTCCACTTAATCAAAAAAAAATCAGAAAAACGGAACACCTCAGGGGTCAGTTATGAGCCCAATTTTTTTCTCGTGGCTATCAACGATATACTAGATCACTGCTCCCCGCTAGTTAAGGGAAGACTATATGCCGACGATCTGGTTCTATTTGCAAAGGGCAAGAATATGAGAATGATTCAAAAACACTTATAAGAATCTATTTATAAATTAGAGATATGGTCAATGTCAGTAGGCGTGCAATTCTCCCCACTAAAAACAAAATGCATGCTTTTCTCAAGAAGGCACCGGCCACAGAGAACATCTTTAAAACTGTATGGCGAGCCGCTCAAATTCTCAGAAAAAATTAATTTTCTCGGAATGGTATTTGATCAAAAACTAACATGAAAACAACATATTTAAGAAATAAAAAAGTCTTGCCAAAATGGATTAAATGTAATGAAAACATTATAAAATAAGAAATGGGGATCCGACGAAACCACGTTATTAAATATTTATAAGTCACTCGTTAGATCAAAAATAGATTATGTGGCCATTGTGGTCCGCTAAAAAACATGTTACTAAGCAACTTGAAGTCATTCAGAATACAGCACTTCGCATTGCCATAGGTGCATTTAGAACCACACCAGTTAAGAATCTCCAATGCCTCACAGGAGAGCCACCTCTTAATCTACGAAGAAATTATTTATGCCTTTCGTATGCAGCATCAGTCGCCAGCAACAAATTCCACCCAGTATTTCAAAATGCATTTACGGACCGTTACCTAGAAGCTTATAACAAAAGTAGGTTCGATCCACCATTCTACGAAAGAGTTCGAAGAAATTTAAAAGATATACAACTCCAAATTTCTGACCTCTTTCCTTCAAATGTAAAAACTCCACCTCCCTGGTTAATCATGATTCCCGAAATCAATACGACGATACTCCAATATAACAAATCAGATACATCACCCACTGTAATCCGACAGTCATGTTTAAAGGAACTCGAGACTTACGGGAAAAGTTTTTGCATTTATACAGATGCTTCCAAATCTGCAAATGACGTAGGAGCAGCATTTGTCACTCCATATTCCTCTTCCCAATTTAAATTAATGCCAGCCACTTCTATATACACAGCAGAAATATATGCAATATTACAAGCCCTCCTCATTCATATCAAAAGTACAAACCATTCTTCTTCCGTCATTATCACAGATTCTCTAAATTCCTTAACAACAATCGGTCAACTATATACTAAGAACCCTATAGCCTTACTTTTCAAGAAAGAACTTGCTGCCTTACAAGAATCTGGTTCAGAAGTCAAATTTATGTGGGTTCCATCTCACACGGGAATACAAGGTAATGAAAACGCAGACCTCCAAGCAAGAGAAGCTACCAAAAATGATCAAGCTATAATAGTGTCAAAGACTATCTGCAGTGATATAAAACAGTTCGTTAAAGAAAAAGTGATTAGTGCGTGGCAAAATAAGTGGAACTTATCGGAATCTAAATTAAAAGAAATTAAATCGACAGTGAAACCGTGGCGCCTAGTAAACTTAAAAAGAGCTGACCAAGTCAAAATTTCTCGACTTCGATTAGGTCATACCAATATTTTTCATAAGCACCTAATAAGTAAAGAAGACATTCCAGTGTGTGATTACTGTCAAGTCAATATTACTGTTAAACATCTCCTAACAGAATGTGGAAAATATACAGTTAACAGACAAAATAACAATATTTCCAGTGACTTAAAAACAGTATTAGGTGAACATTTAAATAATAAAATCTTAATTAGATTTCTAAAAGAAACATCTTTATATAATTTAATATATTGTAGTAACTAATGTAAACTAATGTCGCTAATGACCCAGGTGGTTAAAGCGACTATTATTAGTAAATAAAAAAAAATTAAAATTTACTAAAATTACATAAATCGTCAAATACAAATTTTGTATATCACAAAATAAAAATACACAAATATACATAAAAATACTTTGGTTATTTGTACATAAAGCTCCTGCAATTTCTTAGTTACTCGTTAAGAAACTCGTTCACTAAATAATATGGTCTTTTAGATAGATAGCCTTTTGTCATTTTACGGTATTTAAGGAAAAAAGTTGCAGATTTAAGTTGCAAAGTAAGATGGTTTTATAATTATTTTGCCGAACATAATATGGATTTCTGTACTAACTCAGTGGACGGGATCGGTAAATATGCATTAGCTTAAATTTCTGGTGGAGTCGTAATAATTAGGTCTTCCTGGAAAAACATGTAGGTGTTTAGAATTAGGCAAACAGTTTCTAAAATATATAAAAAAGGAAAAGTTAAAATCCCGTGATTTTTGAAGTAGCTTCTGCAATGTGTTATTTTACTGATGCCAAAAAGATTCCATATTGCTCTTTTTTTAATTTAAAAATAAAATCAGATTGGGCAGCTGTACTAAAAAAACCATATTTTGTACATACCATAGAAAATGTTGAACATTATGTATATCTACTGGCATGAGGCGCTTTCGGCAAACTAGCATATATCTTGAAAAACATTTCTATTCCTGTAAACTTAAAGAAAAGGGTGTATACATGGTGTGACATGGAGAACAAGGACGACAACAAGAACAAGAAGCATGGGAAGACCTCAAAAAATATGAGTAGATGACATACGAGCAGTGACAGGCAAACAGTGGATTAGATTGGCGCAGGATAGAAAAAGATGGAAGCAATTGAGAGACCTACATTCAGAAGTCGATGGAAAATGGTTGACAAAGAGAATCAACACGACGTTTATTTTTCTCTCTGTGATTTTACTAAAAATATAACCTCGCTGTTTTACGTACAAAAAAAATCAATCAGTTTGTCTCATTTCAAGTTTTCTTCACAATAACAAAGTTTTCGAAACAGAAAAAGAACTCCCAGATCAAACAAATATTGATAATTTTTTTTTTAACTTAAAATAAACATTTTGGTTAAAAATTGTTCTCATTACAATGTGCTGTATGTGTGTCTCTCTAACTATGACTTAAATCCGTTACTTAGAAAAAACTTACTATACCGCTAAATAAAAGTATTGTTTTTACGTACATCCTGTAAAGAATGCATAAATGTTTAATTGGCGGTAGTTCTAACTGTTTTTGTTGAAAACAAAGATTATTTACCAGTCATTGTCAAAGTAATTGGTAATTCGGAAAAGTTAACAAGTACCTTAACATGTAGCTATACCTAACAAAAGCCAATAGTTGGCACGTATTGCAAATAATAAAATTACCTGTAATTTTTATTTTATGATTAATATATTCCAATAATATATCTTCTGCTAAATTGGAAAGACATTATTTTAGTTTGTGCTCAAGCACTAAAGCATTTTATTCTTCTAGGATGTTAATTAGTAAAAACTTTTGTTAAATGTGTTTGAGAACATTTATTTATTGGTGACGTGCAAGTACTTGGATGTGATACGAGAAACGATCGTGCGCGAGTAGCGGAGAAATCTTGCATTTTTTACTGCAAATTTTATAGATTTCATAAATTCATATTGTCAGTTGTCATATTTCATATTCGTTTGTTTATTTACACCTTCTGTCACTAAAGAAAATGGGATTTAGGAAATGCTGTGTTATAAATTGTAAAAATACAACAAAAAATTGTCAATTTAAGTTTTATTCGTTTCCAACTTCGAAGCACAAATTACTAAAAAGTGCAAAGTGGATTTATATCATAAAAAAGCATAAGTAACATAACCTAAATTATGCATCATTCTTTCGCCCGATTTTAAAGTCAGTTTGAAATAAATAATAAATAAAAGTTCACTTTTAAGTGTAAATTTTAGTTTCATAACACTCACTTAGAGTTCATTTTAACCCAAAAATCAAGTTTAATGTTTAAATTTTATCTTTTTGAAGTTTACAAAAATGCATCAAGTTCAAGTTTTTCTGAAGATGCATTAAGATATATTCGCTGTCCAAAAGTTTACAGGGAAAGAATTAATTGTTCAAACCAATATGATGATATCATGGGCTTAACCTGCTAATTTATGCATTAGCATTATTTATGGTAATTTATTTTTCTTAATTCTTCCACATAATTCTTCCATTCTTCTTTGACATTTGCCACTACTAAAGCTTTCCCATTTGACTCAGTGCTTGGTTGAAAAGTTATTCGGTGATTTACTTTCTCAAATCCAGTTTTTATTATTGCATCCATATTAACAGTAATGCTGTAATTTAATAATATATTTATTTGTATTTACACTACATACCACGTTTACCTTTTAATAACATACCGACATAACCTCAATCTTACTTTTTCTTCTTATTCTTTTTTGGGGCTACGTCCTTGACAGTTATCCGGTAACCTCGATCTAACATGAAAGCGCAGTAAATTTTGCTGATTTACGACACCAGGTGTCGCTGTTCCGAACTTGCATGGTTCCAATATTTATGCAATTAGCAACATACATAACTAATAGACTATTGTTAACATATTTTCTTTTTTCCTGTAATCTTATTCTGTATGTTTTAAATAGGTGATAGATTTGACCCTTACTGGAGGGATGTTCATTTTACCAAATAATAAAAAACTGAAAACTTTTGATTTCCTGTTACAGAGAGAACCAAACAAATATTTCAATTAAAAATAAATCGATAGAAAATCAAAAATAAATGGATAGAAAAAAGTAAATAATAACAAATTAAGCTGGCATTATAAAATTTAATATCAATACTAAATTGAACAGAACAGAACTACCTTAATATTACGAATCCACAACTCCCTAAATCATAATCTTGTATTAAGAAACACAAACCTATTTACCTAATAAGAGCTTTAGTTTCTTTTTATACAGCTCCGTCACATAAAATTAAAAAAAATTGTTAGAGATTATTTTAGAACACACTAAATTTTTAGCTAAATTTACCGTAAAAAAGACAATAGAACTACAATTAATAAAATTTTTAATTAGCCTATAACTTCAGGTTAATTTCATTTGACATAAAAATTTTGCAGTATTCTGCCTGCAGAAACTTTTGTTCTAGAAAAAGATCTTTTAGACCATACTATTACAAATCCAATCAATACATTTGAAATTTTACATAGCGAAATTTGTAGAAATTAGGACTACTTTAAATTTAATAATCAAATGTATACAAATAACAGTTTAAGACTTTCATGGGAATTGCTCTAAGCAGATTGCTTTCAGATATGTTTATGCATAATCTAGAAACAAACATTTTAAAACATCCTATATGCAAACTCAAAGGCATCTAGTATTTTTTATGTTCATCCATTGTCCAGCTTTCACAGTCATAGAGCAAGACAGACAAAAATGTAGACTAGCTGTTGATAGTAGATAAACAATCAGAATTAGAATAATTACTACGAGTGTGATTGATGCTGTCCCAAGGGAGTTATATGCAATGTATTGCAAAGTATATATGCAAGTTTTTCTATTAGTTTTATAAATAAAGATATTTGTACCTTCGTTTCATAAATCACAATAACCGTATGTCTACTATAAATTATTCTACATCTGCCTAATTAAATTAAGAGTAAATGGTTTTCGAAAGGTGCTATATTAATATCAATGTCACCTCTTTAACCCGGTGAAACATCTGGTATATCATATGTTTCAAGGTCAATCATATCATTATTTCATTTTGTTGAACAGTTTTCTGAAGCACCCGGTTCTCATCTCCGAACTTTTGTTTTTCTTAGGAAGGTAGCAGCCTTCTAGTTGGGTACCACTGTAAGGTAGAGATTCGATGCAAATACTTATTACGATGTTGAAACACCAAAAACCGATAAAGTTCTATTACTTGATGTATAAATATTCTTTTCTGATCCCCACGTATCCTACTGACTGCGCCAATTATAACGATGAATTCAAAAAGTAGCGTTTTAAAAATTATTGTATTTTCAAAATACGAACAATACCTCTGGTATACTGGAATTTGAAGAAACTGTAGAATCCAGTGTCGTAACTCGCGGTAGTGTCTGTCTCCGTAATAGATCAACTCGATTTACTCATAAATTTGAACCCAAGTTATCGATCAGTTTTGTACTTTATAACTATTAGAATAATTTTTGATTGCAGCAAGGCTAGTACCCTAAATAAACCTGCTAAATGTAAAAAAATAAAAATATTAATATTTACATTATATTAGTTGCTTACCTAGTTTTAATAAAATATTTCCAATTCTTCGCAAATTTGGCTATTGCACATTTTTATCATATACCAAAGCGCTTTTTGTGCATTGGTAAAATTATTTTGGTAAAATTTAAATGATAACACCATCTTTTAGTTATATCAGAAAGCATAACTAATTGTAATTTTTCTTTTCCAGGTATTTTATATAAAATTTCGTCAGGACGAAATTTTTACTTGTATGATATGAGGGCGGAAAAATTTATTTGTTGGCGAAGACAAAGACCCCGCGCGACGAGGGAATTACGCAACAAAGCACGACATAGAATGCACAGCCCTTTAATAGCAAGGGTAAGTAACTTATGCTATTAATATGAACTTTTAAAACAATGTTTAAAAATATGAGTTAAGTATTTATATTGTTAAAATGAATGCAAATTATTTTCCATACTACTTATATTTATTGACGAAACAAAATACCGCATTTCACAGATTAAATCCATTTTTCCTCATCTTATAAGTTCACTGTCAAGATTTTAGCCAATATATCGATTATTTTAAGTTAAAGGAGGTCGGAAAATTCGCTAAACTCTTTTTAATATGTTCTGGGGTTCTAAACGAAGGTCTTCTAGGATCCACCCTTCAGTTATACATATGATATACACATCAGATCTTTCAACCACTTAGAATGCAAAGTCGTCGCTACATATGCTGATGACATAGTTACCATGGCTTTAAATTTTGTATCCGCGAAAGTATCTTAAGTATTAAAAAACCACTTGCTTAAATTAAAGAGCTAGCTGTAACTGTGGCGAATCCAAGTCAACAGTTTGAAATCACTATAGATAACATTTACTTTAAAAAAGGGTGAAATGTCACTAGCTGTACTGTGCCACAAACAACAGTCTACTACCAGTTAAAGACGTGGTTAAATACCTAGATAATTAACTACATCAATCGCCATTAGCTCAGCTTAATCTACAGGAATATGTATTCTTATATGTCGGAAATTAAACTTCAGCCTAAAGGACAATTTTCTGATTTATAAATATATTCTATACATATAAAACATAAAAACTTGGTATATTACGAACCAAAACTTATATTACGACCTGAAGGTACTATCAGTAAGCAAACTTATTTCTGTTGTAAGTTCTGCATAAAAAAACAGACTATCTTACCATCTAAATCTGCTCGTCATGAGTGCGGCAATTATAGTGCGGTAAAAAATCTACCTCAACACCCCTACTTCGTATAGCAACCAAGAAGAGAAAGAAGAGAAAATCAGTTTTTAATCCGTTTTTTTTATGTGTTCTCGTATTTCTTTACACTCAACAACAAAACTCATATTTTTGGTGTCAGTGCTATTTGTCTGCATTACCTTCTGTTATATTCTAATAAAGATAGATTAAGGCCTATATTTTGAACATGGAGTTTTTGAAAATGGCCAATAAAAGAATAATTATAATCTAGAAGGTGAAGTTTGTATGTAGATTTTATTGAGTATTTAAGCCATTTTGTGTTCTGCTATATGTTTGATAAGGTTCTACCAGTTTGACCAATGTAAGTTTTTGGGCAGTCGACACTTTTAAGTTTGTATTGTTTGTATTTGAAAGGACACGAAGAACGAAGAACACAATACTTCCTTCAAAATGAGCTCATAGAAAAACTTTTAAAAAGAAAAGTCGAATTAGGTATCGAGACAGTAAACATTCAAGGATCACGCGCTTCAGCTGTGAAATTTGTCAGAAATTCATCTGTGTGGAACATTCAAAGCATATTTGTCAAGACTGCTAAACTGCGATACAATAATGTGTGTAATGTGCAATATCTAGGAGACATCTGGGATTTATGACACCGTTGTTGTTTTTAATGAAATTCAATAAAACATTTTAAGAAATACAGTGTATCAATCTTCCACCGAATGTATTTTGTATTAATATTACAATATTTCATTACCACATCTTAAAATAACTAATTAGCATTTAGCGTATCTAGGAAATACGCGCGACCATTCTTGTTGGTACAAAAGCCGTGACCGCTTAAAGGTTAAACGAAATATCTCATATTTTATAGTATTATTATTTTAATATTAATAATTCCATCCAGTATAAAAAATAAATACAATAATTTCAATTTGATGAAATCTCGTAAGGAATTTATGATGAAATAAACTATTTTATAACAATATATTTTAACACTACGCTGTAATAAACAATTGCATTTGTCTGGGTATTTCCCCGTCGGTGTATTCTGTTGTAATAACTCAGCAATTTAATATGCAGTAGGTGGTATTTTTACTGTAATTTGCCTACTATTAGGTGTCATTGGACTTTAAAATATTTCCAGAAGATATTATATATACAGATTTTATATTTACTACTAAACAATTTTATGAACTAGAGTTCCATATGCAAAACTTTTACATTTTATAGTAGTTATTATAAAACAATTTAATATAGTTTTTCGCTTCTTCTACTATAGAACCATAAAAATAACAACACAGCATAAAATCGCCAAATTTGGGTGGCAGTGTATAGACATAGCTTTTTAAATAAATTGATTTCAAGTATCATTAGAAATTATAATTTCTCAAAAGTGGTCTTCATTTTGAAACAATGTGAGCTACTAAACATATATTAAGTGAGCCTTATGAGCCATACTTTGAAAATATTTCTACGCATCATCCACAGTAGAATCAGAGATAAATGTGAAGAAGATCAGGATGAAACACAATTTGGCTTCAGAAATGGACTGGGAAATCGGGACGCCCTCTTTGCACTAAATGTATTACTGCAGAAATGTCGAGATCAAAGGAAAGACGTCTTTGCTGTATTTATTGACTATAAAAAAGCCTTTGGTCGAGTACAGCATCATAAATTAATTACAATATTAAAAGATAAAGGAGTTGATAGTCAAGACATACGATTCATAGAAAAGTTATACTGGCGTCAACCAGCGACAGCTTGCATAAACGGAAAATCAACAGAAATATGTAAAATACAAAGAGGTGTCAGACAGGGTTGTATACTATCCCCACTTTTATTTAATTTATATTCAGATAGAATATTTAAAGAAGCGCTGCATAATTTATAATGGGGCGTGAAAGTTAATGGAATTCTGATAAATACAATCAGATATGCAGACGATACAAATATGTTAAGGTGATGTTCAAAAACAAAACACATGGTGTTTAGCCGTTTAACACATCAAGATGCACGATTATATGTTGATGGTCATATACTTCAAAGTGTGTCCAGTTTTAAATATCTTGGTTGCCATATTACTGAACAACTAGATCCAGATCAAGAGATAAAATGTAAAATCGAGATAGCACATACGACATTTTTAAAAATGAGGTTATTCTTCTGTAATGAAAACTTGCAACTTCAACTTCGAAAGTGCATGGTTAAATGCTACATTTGGTCAGTCCTCTTATACGGTGTCGAAGTATGGACATTAAAAATATCCACCATTAATCGTCTGGAGGCCTTTGAAATGTGGCTGCACAGACGTATACTAAAAATTCCATGGACGGCTATGCTGACAAATGTGGCAGTCCTTGAGAGAGCAAATGCTGCTCGCAAGCTGCTTGATAACATCAAATGTAGAAAGATGGCCTATTTTGGACACGTAGTACGGGGAGACCGATATAATATTCTTCAACTTATTATGATGGGTAAAATCGAAAGACGCAGAGGAATTGGTAGAAAGCAGGCCTCTTGGTTGAAGAATATCAGGGAGTGGACAGGAATAAAGAAAGCTGATCAACTATTTAGAATAGCTCGAGACAGAGACAGTTTCGCCATGTTAATCGCCAACGTCAAGGGGACTTGATAGGGCACGTTAAGAAGATTAAGAAGAATATATTAAGTGACTGAAGAATATTCAGTTTTTTCCTTATTTTTTTTTATACATCTCAGCAATTATTGCTTTGAGAACAATTTTTAAGAAACATGAAAGTTTTGAAATTCAATTTTACATAACATAAATAAAAAGTATTATCATTAATGAAAAAATGTGAAAAATTACAAACAAGAAGTTTAAAATATTGTTCTGAAGTTATTTTCTTGTGGCATTTTAAATGAAGTACTATTTAAATGGGAATAAGCCACAATTAAAGATAAAAATACGTTTATTGACGTTTCAATTTCCACTTCGGAAATCGTTCTCAAAATACAAACAGTAAATTAAAAAAAAATTGTTTAATTTACTGTCAAATTGTTACTATTGTTAAAAAACTGTCAAAACTAAAGTCTTCAGAAAGTGTAAAACTCGATGGTATAATATATAAGGGTATTCAAACTTTTAAATAGATTTTGAAAAATTATAATTTGTTAATTATGAGATTCTAGGGACATTCATTAATAATTATTGAAAGTACTTTAAAATATGCTTTTTTAAAAAAAGCTGTTTGAAGAAGCCATTTTCAAAAATTACTTCATAAACACTATAATTATAAATATTAATTCCATCTGAAAGACCAATATTAATTATTTATGATAGACGTTCCACTCATATGAATATCGAGACGTTAGAAGCCGCTATGCGAGAACATATTATAATTCTAAAACTGCCACCCCATTCCAGCCTTTTTTACAGCCACTAGACCTAGCTGTTTTTAAGTCCTTTAAAGTTAAATGGGATGAAACACTTGTTGCCTGGCAGCGGCAGCATGTAGGCCAAAAATTACCAAAACAAATATTTTCCCAATTTTTGTGTACAACTTGAAAACAGATGAACTCCGAAGTAATTATCAACGGCTTTAAAAAAGGCGGAATTATTCCTCTTAATCGTCACGTCATTCCTTAAACATCATTTCCACCCTGCTTGCTTAATAAGTGGAAGATAATAAAACATTCCAGATTATCTATACACGAAAATGGTAATGAAGTATTGGTACCAAGTAAAGTAACTCAAGAAGTGTTTTATCAAAACAAAGAACCTACGCCTGATGCTCTAATCGAAACTACCACTTACGACAAAGTAAAAACTATCTCTGCCAGAGTCGACGAACTTAAATCAATTCCATGTACAAGTTTAACTGAAAATAAGAATGCAACATTTGAAGATTTATTGTTATCAACAGTAAAACAACTTCCAAACGCACCAACCAAAAACAAGAAACGGTTATGCCCTGGATCTGAAGTATTGACATCACAACAAGCTATTGATGTTTTAAAACAGAAATCTCAACAAAAAGGAAACGGTACTAAAATGCATAAGATAGCTAAAGCAAAGCCCAAAAAAAGAACTAAACGAGGTCATTATCATTTAGCAGCAGCGAAGACGATGAGTCAATGTCCCCAATATTCATGGATTCTGATAACACCGAAGAGTTTCTGGATACACTTTTGGAATCATAGCCAGAGATAGAAATAGCTGAAAATGATGACGAGGAAGACAAAGAGAATTTGAAATCAACAAAAAGTGTGAATTTATATGTCGGATGTTGGGTATTGGGAAAACATTGCCCAAAGAAGATAAACAAGCATTATGTGGAACTTGTATCAGAAAAGATGAATGATGAGTGGATAGATAAATTTACACGACCTCAAGGAAACAAATTTGTATGGCCAATAAATCCTGACATTGATTGTTGACAATAAAACTTGGAGTGTTTGTTTAATTTTATTATATTTTTGTTTCTTTTGTTATGACATTGTTGTTGAAAAGTTTAAATTCTTTTGTATTTTTTCAACAAAATAAATTCTAAAAACACAAGTAGAGAGCTTTAATTACATTTTTATACAATAACCCTAGAGTATCAAATATAATATTTACTACAAAAATGTAAACTTTCTTTACATTTGCCCCGGTCTCTGGGGTAAATAGGATATATTGATATGATTTTAAAAGAGCATGCAATATTATTAACACTAAAGATTATTAAATTTTTTCTACACAATGAATACAAAACCGTTCAAAAAGTATACGATTTTTTTGATAAGTTTTTCAAACGTTTCTTTATACTGTTATATTAAATGAAAGTTGAACTAATCAAAAAGTAGATCACATTTACCCCACTTCACCTTATACTTTGCTTATATTATACAAACGTTTTTTGTTACAGAAAATCAGCAATTTAAACTGTCGATTTCAAGACCTGGTTGCAGACGGTGGTGTAGGCTACGTAAACCTTGCCCCAGCTTTCAACCGCAGCCTGCTAATGAAATTCAACAGTCGAGGAAGATTTGTTACCCAAGAATGCACCCCCTCTACGAAGGAGGTTCGAAAAAGGCATCTTTGTGCCAAACAAACGAATTTTCTTATCGACGACGGAGATGCTTGCGAATGCCACGAAGCAGAACGCCACTTCTGCAGGGCTAAGTTTGCAAAAATGAAAGAATTCAGAAGCGTTTGCAAAACAAGTAATAGAATTAATGGTTTGTAGATAACAAAGTATTGTTTTTTAATAGTAGTGGGTCAAAGTAGATTGATTAATTACGAGATCAATCACCATGGTAAATTTAATTTGCTATGTAATTGTGACAACTGCCCTTTTTTAAAACTATTTTACCTAACAGAAATTATTTGCACCATTGCATAACAATCTTTGAATTATTTTAAATATTTCCGTTACAGTTAGTAAAAGTAAGCGACCGGCGCATAGCGTTACAGCTGAATACTTGATGATTTTTGAAATGATAAACTAAAGCAAGCCGCCAAATCTTTGAATTGTGAGATTAACTTAAGTGGAGTATTACAATAATCAATAAAATTAAAAAATGATCAGAAAACTTGAAACGGAACCGGCTCGAAGGACCAGAATATTTGTAAGAAACTACTTCGATTAGATTAGACTGCATAACTGCTAGTTAAGAACTTTTCTTGAAGTAAAAATGTAAAATCGATTAAAGTCTCGGTTATCGAACGTCTATTTCACAGCTCTGGCAGTCAGTTTTAGACAGACTTATTTAACGGATGAGCAACACAATCTCACTAAACCGACGCAAAACTGAGTTGGTGCAATTTTACATTGAATATAAATATTTTTTAAATACAGTCGAAGTGATGTAAAAACAGATAAAAGAATTTTTATATTTATTACAAAAATGTATAGAATTGTACAGAAAATGCATAGCATACATTTTTTAATATCTGTTAATGGATATGAGTATCTATAAAAACTGTTAGGTAAATATCATCGTTTAAATTGTGTTAAACGGGATTGTCGACCCATTTAACCTAGTGTCGGTTGTTAATCAGATCGTATAGATTAAATAATGTATATATATATATATATTCTTAGAAAGGGATTAAGTGACTATGTGAGTAATATATACGGATATTTTTGGTTTAGTAGTCAATATTGGCCTTTAAGTAAAACTCTTTTAGGTTTGCTAAGCTTTCGAGTTTATTGTACTCTTTTTCAAAACGTACTAAAAATTAATTTATTAACTGTAATATTATATCAAAATTTGCAATGAAGGTTTTGATAAACATAGACACTTCCTCTGTCAAACTCACCTAAAATAAATATAAAGAATAGAAGAGACATGGAAACCTTAGTAATAAGTTTTGACAGAACGAAAAAGTAAATCAAATTTAATAATGTCATTATGTTAATTAATTTTGCTAATTTTAAAACACAATCCTCACAAGGGTAAGCCTATTGAAGATATAATAACTTCATTTTTCTAATGTAATTTTTTTTTGTTAATTTTTAGTACGTTTTGAAATGTAAAACTTGATTCGATATATACAACCTCCAATATATTTTCTTCAGAAAGTAAATTAAAAACGTCCATTTTAAGCCCAGAAAACTTACAAAACATCAATATAATAAAAAAAATCAGAAATTTGAAAATTAGCAAACACCAAAAAAATGGATAAACGAAGAAAATGAACTTAAGGATCTTTTGTTTTCGTTTTCAAGTAAAAATACTATGACAAAAATCTGAAAAAAAATTGCTAAGGCCAAAAACGTAACATAAAAAGCAGATAGTAGAAAAGCACCTAACACTGCGCCATCTTTTGCCAGGTATCTAACTTCCGTATATACCAAAGCAAAAACATTAACCTAAGCAAAGCAATGAAGTAAACAGAATAAGATTATCAAGGCTGCCAGTGCACCGAGAGCTAAAAAAAGCTGTTGACCCTTCCAATAAGTTTATAACTTAAAGAGTTAAAATGAGTTAATATTTAATATCATTAGTATCTCTCCAATAAGTGGCGATAAATCTAAAGCTTCCAGTTTGTGGCAACGATCAATTACTAGAGAGATACAATACACTCAATTTGTTTTATTGTAGTATTTGATTATCGCATTTCTTGTTGCTATAAAATAGTTTTTCAAATTGAATCCCTCGTCATTGTTTTGGTCGGTATTAATTTCTAATATTTTTTTGTCGAGCTAATCGAGCAAAAAATTGATGGTTTCTAAAAAAGCTAATACAACTGTTAGTAGGATTTAATCATTTTGAGCAGTGTATTTGATTGTTCTGACATTATATTTATTATGACAGACAAATAATAAAATAAGCAAAAAACAAAACAAACAATTAATTACATAAGTTAATTAACAAGGAAATAGGGAGGAGAGGTAACACTCATTTAATAAACCTTCGAAAAGTGAAGCCAGGTTCGATGTGACCGTCATGTTTTGGTGTCTGTACGTTGCGCATTACTACCTCTCGCAGAGTTACCAGGTCTACTGATTTTTTTGTAGATCTACTAATTTCAACTTTAAATTACTAATTTCATGAAATATTATATGGATCTACTAAAAACTATTCTTTTTCTTGTTCTTTTTATATAGACATGACTCTGTCTAGTTTTCAATCTGCCTCCAGTAAGTTGTCGTTCAATATTTTTATTTCTCCATATTGCTTCATTTAGGCAACTTGCGGCTCTGTTTGGTCTATTCACTTGGTCTTCCACTTCGGTTTCGATCTTTCCATAGCTCGATAAGGTAATGCCTAGATATTTAAACTCCATCACTTACTTGACCTTCTAGCTCCAATTTACATCTTGGTAAATTTGCTGTTGTAACCATGCATTTTGTCATTTTTGGGAAAATTAACATGTTAAATTTACTAAAAAATATGTGATGATAAAATCATATTCAAAAAGTGATCATTTTATCGGTGTTCAATTAAAAATTTTGAAAAAATCTTGTTTTTTGAAAAAAAAACCTAGTGATATATATTCATTGTTCTTAATCTTATTACGTTTTTTTTAAAGCACAGCACACATGTTAAACAAACGAAGCGTGCAGAAAACGGTACACGAATTTCCTCTCTTAATGCGATCAAGAAATTACGTTTCAGTGTAACATCTCTTGATAATCGGGCAAAAATCTTTATCACCATCGAAGAACTATTCCCAAACGAATTCGTTCTCCCAGCCCTTGCTAACCAATATCTTCCTTCTTCCACGTCTCTCTATTGTAGGCAGTATGTATCCACTTCTTCTTCTTCTTCTTCTCGTGCCACTCCTAGCGGAGATTGGAAATCATCATGTCCACTGCGACTGTGTTAGCAGTGCGCCTGAAAAGTTCAATTGAACTATACCCGAACCATTCACGTAGATTACGAAGCCACGATATTTTTCTTCTTCCCACACTTCTTTTGCCCTTAATTTTGTCCTGCATGATGTTTCTTAAAATTTCGTACTTTTCACCTCTCACAATGTGCCCCAAGTATCCACTTCGGGCCTGCGTAATTCTTCAAGTCATCTGACCATCTCATTTGTGTCTCTTTTTCTTTTTTAACTATATGGTCTCCAGTGTATAATGATCTTATTCCATCTGTCGTCTTTCTGTCTTATGGTATGTCCAGCGAACTTCCACTTAAGTTTTGCTATCTGCGTTGATACATCGGCCACTTTTGTTTTGTTGTGGATCCAAGTATTTCTTTTCTTGTCTGATAGCCTGATGATGGGTCTTTGTTATTTTTTCTCTTTATTTCTCCTTTCTCCTCTCCTAAATTTTGATATTATTTTGAACTCCTGCATTTTATAAAGAGTATATAAATGATAGTTTTTACATAAAATAGGGTTGTTGTTATTATTTTTATTATTATTAATAAATAAAACAAACTACTTAACTCAACAATATATTAAAGCAAGAATTGTTAGCAAATTAAAAGATAACTGGGCACTATCAGAGGCAGCAAAACATTTTAACATAAGCAGAACCACAGTTCTTCTATTAATAAAAAATGGAGGAAACAAGAAACTCTCGAAAGAAGCCGAGGGTCTGGAAGACCAAAACTGTACTAGATTTGGGTATGTAAAAAAATAAAATTAATATTTTGTAATATTTCCATCAGCATTGATAACAGCTTATAGTCTTTGGTCCATCTGTCTGAAAGAAAATATGAAATTGTCTTTTTTAGAGAGCTCTTCACAAACCTGTTGAATACAGTGCCACAAATGTTCAACATTTTGGGATTTAATTACGTCAATACAACCGTTTTACAATCACCCTTCACACAATCTCGATTGGGTTTAAATCTGGACTGTAGGTAAACCATGGTTAGGTTTCGATGTTGGGATTCTAGAGTCACTGGTTTATTATAATTGCAGTGTGAACATTAACACGCCATAACTTTCCCATTCCTCTGGATAAAATCCGTTCCCATACATTCGCGATAAAATGACCAGCTACTCGATATCTATCAATATATAGAGGATAAATCTATTATTATATTATTATCTGGTCTGTACACCCCAAAAATCTTCTTTTCTGTAAAACTTACCCTATCCCAAAAATCTTGATTTTGTAGCTGATAGTTTAAAGTCTTTATTACTTGTGTTATGATGTAAGAGCTTATTTTTTTGCTGCAGTTAGGTACCTAAGACGCGATGCTTTAATTATGTGCCAAGTTGTTGTCTTTCTTCTCAGAAACTGTGACATAATTCTTGCAGTTTTCGCATCTTCAAAAGGATTTTTTTCTAATTTTTCCAAAAGCGTACAATCTTCATGAGCAGTAGATATTTTTGGTCTTTCAGTACCTTGCTTTCTTTCGAGTGTTTCTTATTCTCTCCATCTTTTATTAATATTAAAAACTGTTGTTCTGCTTACGTTAAAATAGCTCGTCATGGCAGATAGTGACCATCTTCTAATTTTGTTACAATTCTTGCTTTTAGTTCTTTGCTAGCATGTGCAGCCATTTTTTGAGGTTGAACAGAATAAGTTATTTGACAAGCTTTAAGATTTGGCAGTAACAGTGACGGAATGTAAATAATTAATATTTATCCTTCAAAATACACTGCTGAATTTTCTACAAAATACATTTTAAGAGTCATATCAGTTTTTTTAGGAACCAGCTATACATGACTACACTGGGAAGCGTGACTTACTTGCCCCCCTAGTAAGTCTGTATCCTGTTTGCAGTTTTTTAAGAAACCTTCTGTTGGTTTAATAAATCCTATTTTGCTACTTGGATT